TATTTTATCTTTATTTTCCTCATTTTTCTCATAATCACTAAAATTAATTTTTTTAAAAAAAATTGAAAAATAATTAAAATGTATGAAATAAAAAAGACTAAAATAATAAAAATATAACTTAAAGGATCAAGATTTTTATTTTTTAAAAGTTTAGGGAGGCCCTATACCCCCTCAGGCCCCCTGTCTCTGCCACTGTACGTTGGTAAGATTCAGTTTTTTACATCTTTTCATTGTCACATTTGAGCCCTGTTACTAGTAGTTTCTCATGAAAACATGATCCGTTAGTGTACCACCATTAGTCTCCTCTAGATGCTTTAATCTTGATTTGAAGAACCCCATTAATCCTAAATTTATTGTACAAAAGAAAATAAAAAGGCTTAGAATATTTGCCTGCCGATATGGTCGTTGTATTTGGTCTTAATTTCTCCGCTGCCCACACACTGTTTCTACAGATGCCATCAGCCTATAAAGCAAGCGCTGCCGTTTGACCTCGGTACTCTACCTTTTTGCCTCTTTATTACTCTCTTTTCCCCCAGTCTTCTCCTCATTCTACGATCTCCAACGTTCGCTTCACATTTCTGCTTTAACACTCCAGAGCAAGGGAGAAAAGGAAAAACATGGCGGCGGAATTGCACAAAGGCTCCATGTATGTAGAACAAGACCCTGAAGCTTTCAATAATGGCGATTTCCAAAAGAACGTTGACGATGATGGTCGCCCCAAAAGAACTGGTAGGACATTTTGAATGCTTAGCTCTTGAGGTTTAATTAAAGATCTGACCAGATACAGACTAAAGTCGAGTCTTGTATCTGGTAAAGAATATTAGTATTTGTTGAGATGTTAATGGGTTTTCTTTGATTGGTGAAGGGACTTGGGTAACCGCAAGTGCTCATATCATCACTGCCGTGATTGGCTCCGGCGTGCTGAGTCTGGCATGGGCCATGGCTCAGCTGGGCTGGGTAGCTGGCTTCGGAGTTCTCATGGCTTTCTCCTTCATCACCTACTTCACCTCCACCCTTCTGGCCGATTGCTACCGTGCTCCTGACCCCGTCACCGGACGAAGAAACTATACTTATATGGAGGCCGCCAGAACCCACTTAGGTACTCTATTGAGTCACGGATTCAGAATCAAGGTTTTGAAGTTAATGATAAACCAAGTAATTTTTTTTTTCCCTTTTTCAATAATTGAAGTTGTTTTGGTTTTTTGTGGCATAGGAGGAAGGAAATTCCAGCTGTGTGGATTGGCTCAATACTCAAACCTGGTGGGAATCAGCATAGGTTATACAATAACTGCATCAATTAGTATGGTGTAAGTAGTCAAAAACCATGACCCCTGAAACATGGAAAGAGTTTCACTCCTTTTGACTAAACGAGTTGAAATTTTTACACTGAAAATGATTTCTCACAATTTGTTTTATGTTGTCTTAATTTGATTTTCCACAGGGCTGTTAAAAGATCAAACTGCTTCCACCGCCACGGTTCCCGCAATCATTCCGAGTGTGAAACCTCCAACAACCCTTTCATGATCATTTTTGCTTGTATCCAGATCCTTCTGAGTCAAATCCCCAACTTCCACGAGCTCTCATGGCTGTCCATCCTCGCCGCCATCATGTCATTCGCTTATTCGTCCATTGGTCTTGGCCTCTCCATCACTAAAGTTGCCAGTAAGTTGAAAAAAACCAATAATCCTTTAAATTTGTTCATTAAAATATTGTTATACACCATCAGATAGATGTAGCTCTAGCTGTTTGAATGTAAGGACATATTCTATTGAATAGTATTAATTTTACAGTTTAAGTTATATTCTATGGAATATGGTGCTAATTTTATAGTAAGAGTTAACTTGTACGGTTAATGATCGTTGAACGTGAAGGTGGGGGAACTGCGAGAACATCGTTGACCGGAGTTCCAGTGGGTGTGGACCTGTCAGGAACACAGAAGGTGTGGGAAGCATTCCGAGCCATCGGGGATATTGCCTTTGCTTATGCTTACACCACAGTTCTTGTCGAAATTCAGGTAAGTTCTCATCTTTCTTTAATACCTAGCGAGTATATTTTTCTGGATAAAAAATAAAAAAATTCAACATTTATATCAAAAAATTGTCGAAATATATGAAAAACTGGAAATGATCTCTGCACTTTAACTTAATGACTTAGGGTGCGTTAACGATTGCGATTGAGAGTTTTTCATATAATTATATAGTGTCTTTAGATAAATATATGTGTTTGATAATTTTTAAAAATTTTTCTTTTTTAAAATGACAGAAAGTTATACAAATTTATAGTAATTATGTATATAAAATCAAAATTTTCATTTTGGATCTTTTTGATTATATATTTTAAAGAGAAAACTTAGTATTTAATATAATTACAAAATTACTTATCAAAATCTAATTTCGTATAATTTAATTACATCATAATTTATATTATTTTAATAATGATAACAAAATTTAAAAACCTAAATTATTAAAAAATAGTAAATATTATATATTTTTATAATTATATATCTTAGAATATTTTTAAAATGTTAATTAATAATTAATAAAATATATCTTATTTCATCTATAATACTTTTAAAAAACAAATAACCAAATATCAAAATAATTTTCAGTCACAGTTACAGTACAGTTCAACATAGTCACACTCACAACTATAGTTATAATCACAGCATTTTACAATAATTCCAAACGCACCTTTAGGATGCGTTTGAAATTGTGATTGATAACTTTTTTGTGTAGTTATATGTTGCTTTTAAATATATGTATATTTAGTAAGTTTTTTTAAATTATTTCTTTTAAGTTACAGCAGATTTACAGTAATTTTATATATAAAACCATGAATCTTATTTTGGAGCTATATACCTATAACTTTTACAAAAAATAACTAATATTTAATATAATTATAAAATTACTCATTAAAACCCAAATTTGTATAATTCAATTACATCATAATTTATATATTTTGATAATAATAACAAATTAAAAAACTTAAATTATTAAAAAATAGTAAATGTTATCTATTTTAATAATTATATATCTTATAATATTTTTAAAATTTTAATTAATAATTAATAAATTTTATCATATTTAATCTATAATACTTTTAATAAATAAATAACTAAATATCATAATAATTTTCAATCACAGTTATAATATAACACAGTTCAATATGATTACAACTATAATTACAGTCATAACAATTCACAGTAATTTCAAACATACCCTTAGATTTTGAGTTAGTAGGAACTATCTCCTATAAATTGTGTATTCAAGTTTCATAAATTTTATTTTTATTCTCCATTTAATTAAATATATATTAATTTCCTTTCGTTCAAACAAAATATAAGAAGCTAAAATTGAAATGTTTGCCTGATTAAATTATATTAAAATGTCGGCATGGTATAAACGCTCCTCTGTATGTAGTGTTTGGCGGTGGTTACCTTTCAACCCCTTTTTTTTTTGGCCACGGTTTCCTTGCACTTTTTCACTTCTATATAATTGCAAAAAGAAGGCTTCATTTATGCCATACTTAGTAATATGGAAAGGAGTAATTTTTTTTTTTTGGTATAAAATATTACGTAGAGTAACTCAATTTATGACAACTAAAAAAAACAGTAATGGTATAGTGGATGTTTTACTGTTTCGATTTGGAACATTTTAGAAAGTAAATTTAATTTCTAAAAATGCCAATTTTGGTTTTTGCCAAACAAAAGCGTGAAGATGACACCTGAGTCTGGAATTGCCTTTCAGTGGTCGGCCGAAAGCCAAGTTGATATTTGATGAGATTGGGCTTTCATGTACTGTAAAAAGCAAAGGCTCCTCGTGGACCATAAATCTTATGGACCACGATTCCCTCAACTTTTCGAGAAAAAAAAAAAAAAAAAAAGGAAAAAACCAAATTTGCCCTTCCTTTTAACCGCCTTTTTTAACTTTCCAAAACCGCCCTTTTTGCGTTCATCAGCAGTTCCAACTACCTTTTCTTTTCTTTTTTTAAAGGAAGAATAAGAATAAATTCTTCAAAAAGAAATGTTTCCCATGGTGAAAGGTGAAAAAGATAAGGATTTTTCTATAGGTAAAAAAGATATAATTAATATTTTTTTATAATTAATTTTTATTAATAATATAAATATTTATTTTATTTTAATTAATTAATTAATTAAAATGATTCATTCATTAATGATATTAAAATAAATATTAATTTTTATAATTTTTATGTGAATTAATTATTAAAAAAAATATTTATTAGAGATTCATGTTAATAAAAAATCAACATCATGGTTGCAGGATACGCTAAAATCAAGCCCGCCGGAGAATAAGATGATGAAAAGGGCATCCGGTATTGGTGTCTCAATCACCACCCTCTTCTACATCCTCTGTGGTTGTCTTGGTTATGCCGCATTTGGAAATGATGCACCGGGGAATTTCCTCACCGGGTTTGGATTCTATGAGCCCTTTTGGTTAATCGACTTTGCCAATGTTTGCATTGCCATCCATCTCATTGGTGCTTACCAGGTATATGTATTACTAAGTTCCCGGTAATGTAATTTGCTTTATAATATCAACTGCTGCCTAACACGACTATTGTTTATCCAGGTTTTCTGTCAGCCTCTGTTCCAGTTTGTTGAGAGCAAATGCGCGGAAAAATGGCCTGAAAACAAGTTCATAACAAGGGAGCATGCAATTGATATTCCATTCGTTGGTATATACTATATGAACTTCTTCAGGTTGGTGTGGAGGACGGTGTATGTCATTGTGACGGCAGTGGTGGCCATGATCTTTCCATTCTTCAATGACATTCTGGGTCTGCTAGGGGCAGCATCATTCTGGCCATTAACAGTCTACTTCCCAATAGAGATGCACATTGCACAGACAAAAATGAGAAAGTATTCTTTTACCTGGACATGGTTGAAGGTGCTCAGCTGGGCCTGTTTGATGGTGTCGCTAGTTGCTGCAGCAGGATCTGTTGAAGGACTGGTGCAGAGTCTTAAGGCATACAAGCCCTTCCAGAGCCAAGAATGATCCTATCCACGCAAAAGTTATAGTTTTCAATAAGGAAAGCAATTACAGACGCTGTGATTCATTTCCTTTTCTATATTACAAAACTACTTGTAGTTGTATTTGTATTTGTGTTGTGCTACTGCCAAAAATGGAAATAGAATGCCTAGACAAAGGTAAGGTTATGCTATTTAAATCGGCAACAATGCCATCAGAAACCTGACAACGTTGAAACAAAATCCAAAGACAAATTAATCAAGAAAACCTAACCTTACACAGCAAATACAAGTGCCATTTATCAAGAGTACCTCTTTAACCAGATGCTTGGCTTGAGCGATTGGACTAATGATGTAATGTTATGCCAGAGCAAGGCAGTAAAAAGTAGAAACCAAAACTTCGCAAAATGCAATGTGTTATAGCAGTGCAGATGATAACAGCGTCACGAAATTTGATTAATTATCAGAACAATTGATAACCCTCTCTGACCCAAAAATAGAAAAAAATTTGTGAAAGTGAGAGCACCAACGGACCTGAACAACTTGGAAGCTGATCCTTATCCTATACCAGAAAATAAGCACCAGATAACTTCATCATTTCAGCTAGGACGGAAGCACCCTCGGCAAGGAGGCAAACCAATTTGATTCTAGGACATGAGTAGTCTTGCCATCACCGTCTTATCATTTCCTTTAATTAGGCATAGCCCTAACTATCTTGGTGTGCAAACAAGTAACTGCATCTTGTGCTGCTGATATTGTATCATCTGGATGCTGCAGCTCTTGATTTGTTAGTACTCATTAGTGCCTTAAAATATTGTCATGGGATTAACAACATGAATTTCCAGGCACAGAAAAAATCATCAAAACTTAATTATTTATAAACCATTTCAGAAAGCAAAATGCAATGCAGCCTGGAGAATCAGGAGTGCCCTTGATAACTTCGATTTCAGAGCCCATCTCTTGTGTGATGGTCTTGATTGTTGCTCCTTCCTGGCCAGTAATACTCCATACCCTCTCATGATGACCCAATAAGCCGAATGTTGGCATATCTGGAGGATGCATGATTCCTTAATCTCATCATTTCAATTTGTCATCTTTTCTTTTCTCTCCATTCTCCTCAGCTACTTTCCTATTCACCACTTTGCTCAGATGCAACTTCAGTTTTTTCACTTGACAACTCAGGACCACCCATGATGACAATCACTCTCAGCAGAAGCAGGGATCGTTTCTCCAACCGTCTGACTTTTGCACCAGCTTCCTGTTGAATTTGGGATATTGTGGTCCCAAA